ATTTGATTCTTAGGTTGGCACTTTGAACTTTGAAAATAAGAAATCTTTAAAAGATATTTCTTTAAGTTCAAGAGAATAATCATTCATATTCAAAGCATTTCAATAAATCTTTCTTTTAAGTTTAGCTCTAGCACTCCTTTGAGGATTTTCTTCATATTCAAAAATATCTTTCATTCATTTTCAAAGCTCATTAAGTTTAATCAATTTTATCATTTCAAAACAAGAACAAAGCTAACAATTGTTGTTGTAATTGTCTTGTAGTCAGAGGCAGAGACTTGTGACATTCTTTGAGTTGTTCAACCACACCCATAAGTGAAATAAGGGTAATGGAGAGTATGTGAATAAGAAGTCCCAAACTGAAAGTGAAAGTAATAAAAATGAAGTCTTCTATTTCATTACATAATTTTATATGTTCTAAAAAATGTTTATCATTGACTTGTCCGGTATATGTTATTTACAAATTTAGTTACTAATCTATTTAATTTTTTTATAGCAAACATATATTTCTACATTATCATAGAAACAAAGTCAACAACCATTGTCCTAGCCAAAGTTCGATCTATGAGTGTTGTTGGATGTTATGGGAGAGGTCGAGAATGCTTGTGATCTGACCCTTACTACCAATGTTACGACCCCCCTTCACAAAACAACAACGGCTAAGACGAACTAAAAAGAAGATATCTCCAATATGAAGAACCGCCTTATAAATTTGGAGTCGAGTATCACACAGATCCTTCACTACGTGACAGACATCCCACATCAGATCTTTATTAAAGCAACCAAGCTCTTCTAATGATGAGGCGTAACTAAGGGATGGTGGCACCAGATAACTTGTTGATATTTTGTGTTGTGATTGTAATAAAAATAATACAATTTTTTAATTTGTTTAATCTTAATAAATATTTATAATTTTTTATACTATTATTTATTTGTATTTTTTTTTTCATTTGAAATGACAATAGGGAACATAGCAATTTGAACTTTCGTAAAAATCTGTTTTAATATTCTAGAACAACAATGATGAAATTACCAATAGAATCATGGCAATATTGATAGAATAAAGGACAGCACCGACAAAACCTACCAAAATTTGAAACACTAAGCTCTGTTGGTGAATCATTGATAATTCCATTGACGAATTACCAATAGATTTGACTAGATACCGACTAGTCCAACTACTGACGAATTGAAACTTTTACCGATCAAATATTCGATTAAAGATTTATCGATGAAATTTTTCGCTACTGACAAAGTGACCTTTACCGATGAAGGTATTTTCGATTAAATACTAACGAAAAAGTCTATTGATATTTCATCAATAATTTAACTTATCAACGAATTTTCAATTTTACTAACAAAAATTTCATCAGTAAAAGTCATATATTTAGTTATTATAAATGACTAAATCACCTATAAAAACAAATATAAATGACGACTCATCATTTACGTCAAACCGTCGAGTTCTCAAACTTGTGCATTGTAACAAAAGGTGCCCATCCACACACTGTGATTGCCACAGTATGACTAAACATACGATGTAACATCTCTTGATGTTTTGGCTTAATTCCTTTCTTTTGAAATATTTTCAATTTTAGGTTTTTCCTCATCTTTTTTAATGAAAAGAACTTTTTAAAATAAATTTAATGGTATTAATATATTCTTCAAGTATGATGACGTATTAAATTACAAAACACTGAACTTTTTTTTTCATCCAACAAACTCTAGTTAACATCAATAGGTTTTCACTCCATCTAAGCTTATACCAAACATCGTGATTTAATCATTGATACAAATCATAAAGATTTTGAAGTGACCCCCAATACCAAACATTACCTTAAGTTTTGTTTGTTTTAAATTAATATTATTCAATATTTGATATCACATATCAGATGATTTTTAGAATGTTATATTACTTGAATATTTGTGTATATTGTTTTACATAAATTCAAATCAAATTTTATGTGGAATTAAATTTTATTTTACTAATTTAATAATTTTTTGTCCAACACTAATTTAGTAATTTAATCATAAGTTTGTTTCTCAAAGAATAGTTCTTAAAAAAAAGAATATTAAAAAAATATACTTTTAGTGTTATTACTTCAAAATTTGTTAATACAACTACAATGTCTTTAATTTTAATGAAGATGTTTGTTTGTTTTTTTTTAATTTAATTGAAAGATACTTCAAAATAAAATCAAATTGGAGCAAATAAATTTAATTCAAGATACTAATCATCAGGGCAATAAATGTTCATAGCAAGCTCGTATAGAAAATGAATTATTTTGTAGATCCAAACTTTGTACTAAAATTTTGAATCACCATCCTAACTTGTACTAAAAAAAATTTAATATGGGGGTAAAGTATAAAACTAGTACTTGAATTATAGTATAATATTAATTTGAGATAACGGCATATTTAAAAAAATTCAATATGATATCTAAACTTTCAATCCATTGCATCAATATAACTTAACCACTAACACTATAAAAGGAATAGTTAATGTGTATGTCAACCAACCAAAATTCGACACATAGTTATAGAAAATTCCATGTCATGGTTTCAATCATGTTAATTAATACAAGTTTACGACATGTGTTGCATACATAATGCACACATGTACGCCACATATCAATATCTTATTGGATTTTTAGACAATTTTGATATGATCTAATTAACTAATAAACTAAAATGTATGAAATAAATCCAAAACCCTAAATCTTAAAAATTTTCAAAATCAACAAAGGTGGATATTAGAATGCATTTGAAAAGGAAATAATAAAAAACAAGCAAGGATACTGATGGAAAAGATTTTGAAGGAAAAAAGCAAAGAGAGTCAAAGGTCTCCACCAAATCCAAATTAAGATTCAGTTAGCCTTGATTTACCCTCAAACAAGCAATAAATTAAAAGGATGATTTTTTTTTACCATTCAAAGATAAGTTGTTTTCAAACATAATATTTTTTTAATTTTAATTATTTTTAGCCAAGAAAAAAGATTTTTGAACAAAATTACCCTTAATGAAATATCCTCATATTCAAGTTACACGATCTAAAATTTGAGTCAACTCAGAAATCACAACTAAAACAGTTTCACCATAAGGAAGTGCAGTAGTAGTTGCAAGCATGAGGAGGAGAAGAACGACAAGCGATGTGACCTTGGGAAGGGCCACTGGGACTATGCTTCAGTTTTACATGGAGGATGTGCCAAGGCTCAAGATCTCCCCAAATGTCATACTTGTCATGAATATTGGTTTCATTGCTTTTGTTGTCATCCTTCATTTCATGGGCAACTTGTACTTTGTTCATAGGGAGACTTGGAAAGTGTATTAACATTGGCAAAATTAAGTTCCAATATACTGATTTTAATTTTCTTTTGATGGATTCGATTTCTCACTCATTTCTTTATAATACCAATACATTTTAATTTTCTTTTACTAAGAAAACAAATAAAATAACTCAAAAGCTTATTATCCAAATTAGAAGACTTTGGATAATATCTTTTTGTCAAAATCCATTTCATCCCAACAACGTGACATTGAATAATTTTTCTATACACATTCATTTTCATATCAAATTCCTTTTTGATTTTAAACTTTTATCTTTATCATAAAAGTGTTTAATTCTAAGAGTTTATGTCCCAATAAAATATAAAGATATAGAACAAGTTGCGTGTTATGTTTAAAAAATGCTATTGTTACATGCTATGTTCAAAAAAATATTATTACACTTGAAAAAAAGTTATTGCACGTTTTAACTTGAAGAGTTTATATTGTAGTAAAATACAAATGAAGAAGTTATACACCCAAAACAACATTGCAAGCCTAAGCAAATGTTACACATTTTAGCAGAAAATGTTACGCACCAAAACTTCAACAACAACTGTTACACGCTAAAGTCAAAGATTCAGCACCAAATATTACACGCTAAGGCCAAAGCTTCACCATCCGATGTTACACGCCAAAGCCAAAGTAAAAGATGTTACACACCAAAACTTCAACAACATATGCTATACACCAAGGCTAAAGCTTCAACACCAAATATTACATGCCAAATTGTCTTTCTTCTTACTAATGTTACACATAAAGGCATGAATCACTTTATTACATGTTAAGGCATAAATCACTTTATTACACATCGAGGCATGTTCTACTAGGCTTGAATCACTAAAAAACTCAACACCAGTAAACCCAAGAGCTTGTTGTTACTCATCATATCATGCTTTTTAGTTTGTAGATTGATGATAGAGGGTTTGTAAATGTAAATTAATAAGTCCAAGAATACGTTATTACCTTTTATGTTATGCTTTTTGATCTGTAGATCGACGACGATAGGTAAGATGATGAAAGATAGAGAGAGATGATGATGGCAGTAAAATTAAAAAAAGTTGGATGATAAGAGAGAGAAATGGAGAGTATAGACAACGAATAGCTGGACAGAAATTTTGAGAGCACTTAATCTGTTTAAAATGGTTTTAAGGATATTTTTGTTATTTTATGGTTAAAATTAGATAAAAACTGTTAACTTTATATCGAAGGTTATTTCTAAAATGGACTTATGACAAAGACCATTTCTTATAATTTCCTCAAAATTAAATTTTCCTTAAAAAGAAGGATAGTCATTTATATCCCACATTAATTCTACATGTAACGCAATTACACTTGCCATCTAAGTAAGTAACTATCATCTTATTTAATTTTGTTAACAATATTATGTAGTAGGATAAATTGTTGCACTTATCAAAACTCATTCAATATTTTTAAATTGTAGATGTCACATTAAATATTTTCTTAAACTAGAAAGTTAAATAAACATCAACCTTAGTAATTTATTGAGTCGAGAAAAAAAGTTCATATTCCACTGTTTGTTTGTTCTAATTTAATATAGATTCTGATATTTCATATTTTTGTATCTTAACCATGTTGACAAAATAAATTTAAATTCATTTAAATTTGTATTGTGTTCGGATCATTTTGTCATATGATATACAAAAGTATCAGTTTAATTTAATCCAAAAATAGTAGCACTCCATTTACTTTTATGCAATAATGCTGCAATGCTACAATGTTTGCTCGAGGAAAGACGGGGCAGGGGAAACTAACTAGCTAGTATTACAAAGCGCCGGACATATATCTTATTTTTATTTTATTTTGACCCAAAAATAGTAAATAAATAGAAGGAAGGCAGTTGTTCACGATAACGAGTTGAAAGAAGAAATATTTGATAAAATCTCATCGGAAGAAACCTTTGCCGCCGATGGTGGTTCGGTGGAGAGAGGAAAAAACTGAAAGAACAGCCATGGATAAGAATGCTCCTGCCAGAAGACCCGCCGCCAGATATCCCTTGTTGAAGAAACTTTCAAACGGAGAATCTTTCAAATCTGCCCCAAATTCATGGAACAAATCACCCAGAAATTCTTTCAGCTCCACAGTGACCAAGAAACCAGCACCGACACCCGTGGCCAGAAGAAAGGCCATCACCTTTAGTAAATAAAAAGAAGTTTTAGTTTAGAACTCATTTTTCTCATCACTTGGTTGTATGAATGCGGTGGTGAGCGCGTTACCTTGTCCCCATAAAAGTCAAAGGCTGGCAAGAAACCTCCGCGAATGAGCCTTTTTTCAGTGCAAGCATAGTATATGGCGAAAGGGGACTGTAACATGGAATAGGCCGCTCCAACAACAGCGGTGGCCAGCACATACCTGTGTCATCGATCCTATATTAGTAAGAAATTGAATATATTTTGAGAAAGTAAATATGGTTATCCCACCCCTTATCGTGTCATGGATTTCATATTAATAAAAAATAAAATATATTTTAAGAATATAAATATGAATATTCCATCACTTATCAAGTATATTTTTTAAGTTGAAAATGTAAACCGTAATTTATAGATTTAATTAAACTCTAGTTTCAGAACTTAAAATCATACGAAAACCTGCACGTATCATTTTTTTTCCTATCAATAATTAAGATTTGTATTATTTGGTTCAATTATTGATTTTTTAATTTCAAAAGTTGAATAACTAACTACTAAACATTGGAATGTAATTTTACCATTTACATTATAGCAAATGTTACTTAGTTCCTTCATACCAGATCCTTTCAAAAAATTTCATACTTTTTCGAAACATGTCCAATAATAAGCTTAAAATTTTCAAAGCAACAATTTCAAAGAATTATTTATCCATCAAACCAAATTACATTATATGGATTCAGTTGCTTTGAACATCAGAATATATAAAACTAGAATATTAATTTCATGTACTTAATAATAGTGATTTCCGCAAATTTCTGCTGCAAAGGACATGCATTTTAAAAGGAAAAACAAAAGAGTTATTATGCGAGGGAAAGAACAGATGTTAAAAAAAAAAAGTGAAGTTTACGAACATGTAGCAAACAAAATTAAAATGAAGTTTACAATATTTTACTAATTCATCCACTAATTTTGAATATGTATTACAGCAAATTTATTACCTTTAATCTTGGAAAATATCATAAAAAAGGTTTATTTGCACTAACAAGAAACAACAATTTTTTCTAACAGAAATAGTTCCATCAGAACAAATCCATCAAATTCCGACGAACTATGATCACGACTATTTATAATTCAAATTTTATGACATTGAAAAGGAAAAATTTGAATGCTAATCCTGAGATGAATAGGAAAAATTCTATGAGATTGAAAAGTATTAGTTACATAACAATGTATAATTCAAAATCTTCATGTACCAACAAAAAAAAAGGACAAAGGAGAAAAAATGAAAGGACACTCAACAAGTTAAGGTTTACCTGTAGGCAATGACATTCTTGAATGTTACTTTGCTGCCATCAACATCTGTGGCCTTGTCCAGTATCAGAACCACCACACATCCGGCTGCGAATAAAGTAGTGGAAATTCTCAATAGAACGGTTGCAGTTGCCATAGCCTTTGACGCCATCACCAAATTTACTGTGTTTCCTCTTCCTTTTCTATTATTGTATATCTGAGCTCTCCTTAGAATATTAGATATAGCTAGGCTATTATATATAGACGAAGAAACAACAACAAAGCCCAATCACCTTTTCTTGGTTATATCACATTCTTGCTTTCATTCTTGGTTCTATCAAAGTAATGTTGGCTGCATTATCTGTTCAAAGATTCAATTGCCGGATGAGATTATTGATGCTGTTTACTGCAGGCCCTGACCAACAATGATGTTTGTTGACGCTTGACTGGTGCGAATGGATCTCATATATAATTAATTAAGGTTTCCTTTGTTTAATTTTTTATTTTTTATTTAGAAAATAAAAAATAAAAAATGTAATAGTTAAATGAAATTTCAAAAAGCAAAACAAGAAAAAGATAAAAATAAAAGAGGAATGATAAAAGTGACGGTAAAGGTTGGGCCTTCGATATTTGCAGAGCTATATCTTTGTTTAGTTGAACCGCACAAAGATGAAAACAGTTTGGAGGATAGACAATGTAACTTTAAAAAAAAAAAAAGTTCAATTTGACGGTAATCCTTGGTAATTTAAATGGAAGACTCAACCCTATCTAATTACCTTATCAGATAATCCTTGGTAATTTATAAATTTATTTACCATGATAAAAGTCTAAGTCTTAACCAAAGGTAAGACGGTGTCTAATGAATGGAACTCTCGTGAGTGTCAACCAAAAGTCCAACATCTCCCACTCACACAAGACAGGGAAGCCATCCTCCCACTCTTGTAAACCATCACTGAGTACACTTAGATTTGGAGCTCTATATTAGGAACTCATTAGGGTTAGCATGAAGATATCAATCTTTTTAAAAATAAAGTGTCTTGTATGCCTCAAACCTATTTGATTGCATCAAATTTAGTATCTCAAATCCCTCGATGAGCAAAATTCAACCTTTTTTAGCAAAATTCAACCTTTTTCACGTTGCAACTTGTATTTACAATTATATCTTAGCTTTCAAATTAAAGTGGTATAATGGGTAGAACTTGAATATAGCGTACTAATGCAATATCAAATAATATTCCCTTCACCTTCATGCCTCTTAGTTTAAAATAGACCACTTTCCTAGTAATGTCTCTTACAACCGAATCATCTGTGGTCTTAGTTAACATGCCAAAGTAACAAACCTCCATTCCCCACCTCATGACATAGTCAAAAGTCACAATGGCATAGTGAACGTTTTATTAACCTTCTTAGGACTCATATGATGAAAAGCAAAGATCCATTCTTCTACCTCCTATGTTACCTATAAACTTGTAATATGAAATACATACTAGGATAAAGTGTATCCATCTAAAAGCGTACGTCAAACTCTCAAAACAATTCAAATCTTAGTTTAGTTGTTCTTCAAAGCACCTATCTTGAGTCTGTTATTTGCTCACATTTTAGGTGCCAAATTAGGTCCCAAATCTTACTTACTTTAAGGGTTACATTGATTGTGGGCTAATCCATTATCAGCCACTTAGATATTACTTATTGCATGGACCTCATTGGCTCTAATCAAGGTGATATTTCAAACTCTAGTTGTTATTTAAAAGCACCAGTAGCTTATGTCCCATCTTTGCTCGCCTTCGCAAGCACCAAAGGTGATCACTTGTGTGAGTGAGCTAATCTTAAGCTTGTTGACATATTTTTATATCTTGTGTGTCAATTAATAAAAAAACATAAATGCATCAACAATGAAATGAGAAAATGCATAAAGATTATTAATATTCCAAATAAAAGGTTTAATACAAATGATCAAATAAAACAATCACCATTTACAAAGTTCTAAAAACTTAACATGAGTCATATAGACATCCCTAGGATTAGGTTTAGTCCAAGCATCTACCACCTACGACTAGTTAAATTATGTTTCAAGATCATTTCCTTTTGTGAAATTAAATACCTGATGACGTTGTTCTACAAATTAATGTGTTTAGTTCTATCATGCAGCCAAACTATCATTATGAATAGTCGTTATATTTAAAGTGAAACTAGTCACATCAAGATGTTAAAGGAATTGCCTCAATCTAGTAGCTTCTTGTATGGTTGCTTAATAAGCTATAAATGCCACTTCCATAATGGATAAAATAATGCAAGACCATTTCTTGTTGCTCCACGAGATAGCAACACCATTGAACAAGAATGCATGGCTGGAAGCAGATTTGTGCTTATCTAAATCACCTCCCAATCACCATCTTAATAGCCAATTATGTTCAGGTTTGAACTACTATAGCAAAAAATGTAATCAACAATTCCTTTAAGATAGCACAATATCATTTTGACTATTTTCTAATGAGAAAGTCTTATGTTTGATTGGAATTTAATAATCAAACTTACTACAAAGCTAATATCGTGTCCAGTACACATCATTGCATTTGTCAAGGGTCATGCTTAGGCACACCGTGTGGTGCTCAACTATGCCCTTCTAGGTCACTTTGGTGGCTAAGCTAGCCTTAAATTGGTCAAGGGTGGTTTCCCTTAACAATAGTACCAATGCTGAAGCATAACCAAACTAGTATAAAAGCACCAAGTACTTGCATACTAACCTTATGCAGCCTTACTTGGCCTAGCATGTCACTTTCAGAACTCATACGCATGCTTCCGAGGGTTACACGAATTGTTAGTTGAAGCATTTTCGCCTAATATGCAATCGCCTCTTTCTCGTACACCAACCATGTAAGTGATTCTTGGCATGTTTGAATCACTTAGTTGAGCGCTCTCTTACTAGTCCAATGATCCACACGCTAAGGACAACCTCCGTGTCAAATCCTTGCCTGATAGGCATGCCCTTTAATAGTCCCTTATTCAGTCACACGTTGCTCATTGTAATGACCGCTCCTCGATCGCTACTGACATTCGAGTCTCGCGGGAGAACTCGCTAAGTCCTGAACAAGCCTTACTTAAAACATTAGCTATTACTTTATATTCATGCCATCAATCTATGAAATTACTTTGATCCATAAAACCTTTTGTAATAGGAATTGAACAATAATCTTTATAAATTGACTAAACCTTTATTCCACATAATTGTAAAAATAATACATCAAGACTTAAAATCTCCAAATGTATATTCGTATTGACACTATTGTCTAATTTCATAACAAATTACAATAAGACAACTCAACCTCTATCAGTGGAGCGACTCGGAATAGAGTACTATGAGATGCCTTTACCTATCCGCAGTGGATTGAAATTGTCGATGACTGCATGCTAGGCTGATCATTACCTGTAAAAGGGAAATAAGAGGGTGAGTCTCTCAAACTCAAAGATCATCGGCTCCATGAGCAAGGCATAGATGGGAAACAAGCATAAGGTAGATAAATTTTAAATGGTCAAACTAGAATAGGTATAGTAATCTTAGAAAAATCAAATCACTAGTAGAGTGTTTGTGCCTTGTAAAAATGAAGCTATAAAATCATAATACAATATTTCACTTGACAAAATGGTGTTGAAAACAAATGTAGCGAAACCAAGTTCAAACATCAAAAACATTACTTGCCATAAAAGTAAGAATAACAGTATAAAGTATACATGCTTCCAAAATGTGTGGCATGTAAAGAAATCAAAGTGTACAGCCATGTAAACCATTTCATTATCATCAAGTAAGTACTAAAAGCTTTTATTCAAAAAAAGAGAGCTGTAAAGAAATCTTAACTCTCCACCATGCAAAAGAGTATACATAGAAAACTCACAAGGCTCTCAAGTAGGTAAGTATCGTAATCACCTATGGACCCACTTCCACGTAATAATATTCGAGAGCTTCGCTCCAGCAGATCCTAACAGCTATGGTAGTCTTGACGATGTTGGCCGACTTTGGAGAAATCAAGCGATCACAACCGTGAATATCACTTGTGGCCTAGCCACATATAATAACCCGTGGCCTTGCCATGTATATCACAAACTATGGCCCCAGTCATGGCTACCAGTCCGTCGGAGATCCAAAGGTTCTCTAGCTAAAGCTCACTTGTGCATAAGGATCACACTATCTCGATGTGACATTCGACCTACTTTCGACGCTTTCAATTTGTCAAAATCATTTTAGAAACCAAATCAAGCTTTCTGAGGCTTTGCCTTTAAATTGTTTGAAATCAAAGTTTAATAATCCTTCAAATTGTTTTTCACACTAAATGGCATAGTGTAAACACTTTGTACAAAGATCATAATAAAACCGGTGCTCAAACTTGCACTTTAAATCATTTAACAAATGCATTTAGCTATGCATATCACACAAAAAAATGCAAGGCATGGATTTTGCTGCAAACATCATGAAAGGCTTCTTTCTCGATTTCTAAAACTCTTTACATATGTAGCTTATCTATAAATATATCCAAATCACTTTAAAAACACTGCATCCACAATTTCCTATAGTTTCTACCAGCTCATGCTTTCCACAATAGCAATATATAAATCATTGTAAATCTATTTTAAAAATGGCTTATCAAGGCAAATAGCCCATACTATCCACAAATGCTTTTAAGAAAAACTAACAACGTTTATTAACATAAAACAATATATAGTATAAAGATTTTAAAATCGACACCCCCCACTCACCTTACAATAGTGGGACGCTACATCACTATTAATTTGGGTGTGTGTTTAGCTAGTTCTAGTCGCCAGTTACCTATTACCTCCTCTGTCACGTCACCACAACACACATTCTTTACTTATACACTTCCTAACAACCATATAAACTCAATACACTTAATTATTCACATGCATGGCAGCACATCAATCAATAAATCCATAGCCTAATTTCATAGTTTCATCAACCTTACTCACAATCAAATAACACATAATCCACATACGATCAACTAAACAATGCCAACACAACACCATGCGTTCACATTGCATGCTTACCTTTCGCTTTTAGCTTGAGTTCCACCTATAATCCACCATTCCTCACATTCTCGGTCACCATCGCTACCACAAGCATAAACAATTAGCACAC